CAATGGCAGCATGTCCCTGGGTTCAAGCCCAGGGCTGTAATATATATATACACACACACATATATATAATATTATTTCAACATCAAACCCATATAAAATATCATTGGGATATTTCTATTTTCCATATGAAGACCTTGTAAGCCACTGTGTGGTCACACCCCAGCACGCCTCGGTCTGGACTTGCAGCTTTTCAGGGGCTCAGTAGCCCCAGGTGGCGGGTGGCTGTCATAGGGGACAGCACAGGTGTCTTCTTTTCAGTGGGTGCTTTGGATACAAAGTAATAAGCCATCCCCTCCCCCTCCCTTGAAACCCCACCAGCTGCACAGAAGGGTGTGCATTTCCCTCAGGTTGAAATCTAACACCCCAAATAAGGAGGTTGGAGCAGCCAGGAATGAAGCCCAGTCTGCCCGCTGTGTCCGTGGCAACTGGGACCTCCGTGGCCCTGGAGAAGGGCTGGGAGGTGAGAAAGAGTTAGCTGGGAAAGCTCCACCCCAGGTCCCCGGCCTCCCTCCTGGTCTTTGGGACCTTCTTCTGCAGACGCAGGTCCAGGTCCGGTGAAGGGGAAGGCGGCTCCCTAGGTGGGGTGTGCGAACTTGGCCAGCTCCACCCAGGGCCAGGGCTGCGTTCTGTTCTGTTTCTTTTGGGCGGTGCCTGGGGGTGGAGGGAGCCCGGACCCGGAGCTTAGCAAGCACCTGCTCTACCACTGAGCCGCACCCCAGCCGCCCAGGTGTCTTGAGACTCGGCTCCCAGTTCATGTGGGGGAGGAGTCTTGGCTGAGCTGAAGATGAGTCCTTGGCTCTGGGGACTTGGGTGCCAGAAAGAGGGGACCCTGAGGAAGGAGGCTGTCTTTCTGATACTCTGCTCCCAATCAGGCAGGACCGAGCGAGAGAACCTATGTGCCTATGGTGGACACAGTTCGGTGGCAGCTGTTCCTTAGGTCAGCCTGGTCTGTTCGCTCCACCTCTTCCTAGCTGTGTGAGCCCGTCTCTGGAATGGGGAGAGACTCGAGCCCACCTGGGGCCATGGATGAGTGGGCTCCGTGAACCAGGCTCTGTAATAGTGGGGTTGGGCACAGATCCCAGGACACAGTAAGTGCTCAGTTAATTCCTGTCTTATTGTTGTGATTATGTATGCGACTTGTTGTTATGTATATGATTTTTTTTGGGGGGGGGGGTGAGATAGGGTCTCACTTTTTTGCCCAGACTGGCCTTGAACTTGGGATCCTCCCACCTCAGCCTCCCGAGGAGGTAGGATTACAGGCAGACACCACAACACCTGACTTTTAAATGATTATATTGAAATAAAATTGACACACCATGAAATTCACCCATTTAAGCAGTGCTGCCTAGATTTTAGTATAATCACAAGATCATGCACTATCGGCACAGTCTAATTTAATTCTCCCACTCACACAAGAAACCCAGTACCCGTTAGCAGAAGTCTCCCCAGTTCCCTTCGCCAGCCCCAGGTCTCCCTGCGGGTCTGGATTCTCCTGCCTGGGCATCTGGTCTAGATGGAACCACAGGCTGTGCTCCTTGCAGCTGGCCTGTCACGCACCACCCTGTGCCAGAGTGGTTCAGGGGCCTGATCTTTATTTCTGATCAGATTAGTGCATTTTTGAAAACCTGTGGGTCAGGGCCAGGGACTTTCTGTGGTCACTGATCACACAAAGGGAGACTGTATGGGCGGCAAGGAAGAAAAAATGAACAAAGCAAACACAAAAGGGAACCATATATATTTAATTATTATTTTTGCAAGGCTCACGGAGTTCAAATGGTGGATCCACCTCTTTCAAAGTTAATGACCTTGAGCAAGTTACTATCCCTTCCAAACCTCAATTTGTTCTGTGTCACACGGGAAGAGTGTGTCCTGCCCAGGACACAGGTGCCTGGGGCGTGGTGCTTAACCAAGGGCTTCTCATTACAAATGTTTTGCCCCATGTGGGCCCCGATGTGTCCTGAGAGTTGTGTTCTAGGACTAATACATGGTACGGAGAAAAATTGGAGCCTATAAATGAATATGAAGTAAAACAAAGTCCTTAATTCCAATCTTGAGAAGAGAGTTAATTGCTGCTATTTGGGGGGAAATAACTCATGTTTTTTCTTTTTATCACATATGCATTTGTATATATTGACCCATTTCCAACACGGTGTCACAGTGGCTTTGTAGCCAAACACTATTTGGAATGTCTCACCACATCAAACACGTGATCGTCCTTGTTTTGAGGTGGGGTCTGGATAAGTTGCCCAGGCTGGCCTCAAACTCCTGGGCTCAAGCAAGCCGTTCTTCTCCCTCAGCCTCCTGAGTCACTGGGACCACAGGTGCCACCGTCACAATTGTCGTTTTTAAAGCCAGCATCCTTTTTAATTTTTTTTTCTAAACATACTATAATGTATTGGACAGTCTGCTTTTGACAGGCACTCGGGTTGAATGCCATGTCACAAGTCTGGTGACACAATGTACAGAAACTTTGTTTCACATACAAACTAAATGTCACATAAAGCCACCTTGAGCCTATCTATATAAAGTGCATGTGAAACCTAAATGAATTTCACGTTTAGCCTCGGGTTCCATTCCCATGGTATTTCACCATATATATGCAAATAGTCCAAAATCTGGAAAAAATCCAAAATCTGAAATGCATGGTCCCAAGCATTTCAGATAAGGGATACCCCACCTGCATAAGGAATGACACAGTGACATATTCATTTTTGGGATCTGTGGGGTTCACTTTTTTTTTTCCTAGATAGATTCCCACTAAGTAGAATGACTGAAACTTTTAACAAAGTTTTTTTTTTTTTAAATGATCTAACACATACACACAGCACACACATGTACATGCATGTATGAACACCCAGCCCCGTGACCTTTCCAAGAACACACATGTGTGACCTGGGTCCAAATCGGGAAGTGGGACATTCCCAGCACCCACACCCCCCTGTACCACTCAGCTCTAACTCTGTAGCTGAGTCCTGCCTGCGTTGGGCCAAAAGGAGGGGAGGGAAGCCTTCCAGGGGTGCCCATCCGAGTCTGCCCAAAGGGCAGGGAAGGAGGCGCCCACCAGGGAGGTACTCCATTAGCAACTTGTAGGAGGAAGGGTTCCTGCAGGCAGTCGCCTAGGCAACAGGTGAAGGGCTCTGGATGCATTAGCGTTTGATTTCCTTTCCTGTGGAATCAGCCCCGCCTTCCCGGGAGGACCCAGTTATTTATTATTTACACCGACTGTCCTTTGGCCTCAGACTCCTCACGTCCTCACTCTTTCAGGGCTGGCTCCTTTTTGCTCATTGTTCTATGGTTTCTATTTTCGTTGCTGAATACTATTCAGTTATCCACGCATCACCCTTTAGCACAGTGACTCTGTGCCATTGCTGGGCAGGGGACAGTCTCCAGTCCAGGGTGATTCTCACGGTGCTCACGGGCATCCTCCCACACATTCTTGGGGCCTAGGACTGCGGGGACATCGGGTGGGCAGTCAGTGTCCTTGCTGACATACCCATGACATGATGGCCACGTTTTCCTCCATAAAGGCTCGACAATGCCCCTGCGGGTTACTTAACCTTTCCAAGTATCCGTGAGTGCGCGGGCAAGGCTGGGATGCTGCCCCTCCAGGGCGCCGCATGGCGGATGAGCTAATGCCTGGAGCCGCGCCCAGCCCAGGTTGGCAGCCTCCAAGACGACTTCCTACCAACAGCAGCTGCTCGGGATGCTTGAGGAGTCTGAGCTGCAGATTCTTGAAGAGAGCACAGCTTGAGCCTGTTGGGGGGCGGGGGAGTGACCAGTTGGCCCAGCAAGTCCATGTTCCTGTAGCAAGAGGAGCTGGGGACTTGCGGGCCGGGGGTGCTGAGAGGACTGTAGAGGGACGGCAGCCCCCAGCCCAGCCACTGCCCTGGGAAGCTTTGCCTGGGCTACACACAGTCCCCAGGAGCCAGCCCTGAAGGCCTTGAGGGCAGATAATGACCTCAGGGCAGGCTGAGCAGGCTGTGAAGGAGTCCCAGCTCCACCACGTGCAGATCATGTGACCTTAACCCCTCTCTGTGGCCGTACTCAAGTGGTCACACCAAGATCACCCTGTGTCCTCCCTTGCAGGGTTGTTGTGCAGATGAAATTAGAAATGCCTACGTTCCATAAAACAAGCCCCCGACCTGTGGGCGCACCCCTTAGAAAGCCCAGAACCCAGAGGGTCCCATCTCAGAAGTGGCTCTGCCAAGAGTGAAGTGTTGAAGACACAGAGGTGTTCTGGGAGCTTGAGTGGGTTTAGATCGTCCGCCACGGCCACTGGGATCAAAACTTGAGCCATTCCCTTTCCCTGCCCTCATGGCACCAGATTCTTGGAACATTTCTTACTCCAAGATTCTCGAACAGCTTTCCACACCAGCCTGCTCCTCTGCATGTGTGTATGTGTGTGTGTGTGTGTGGGGGGGTTGCGGGGGTTACTGGGGATTGAACACAGAGCCACTCTACCACTGAGCTACATCTCAGCTCTATATTCATCCCTACGTTGATCTGACAGACTTTTGCTAAGTCACTGAAACTAGCCTCTAACTTGTGATCCTCCTGCCTCAGCCTCCCAAGCTGCTGGGGTTGCAGGCATGCGCCACGGCGCCCAGCTTCATCTAACTCTTAATCTGCCTTTCTCAGCTTGGAAAAAACTCATCCTGTGAAGTCAGAGAGGAGATCACATAAGTAGATCCATCTTTGTCCTTAGTGGGCTGGGGCTGGACCATGGTTGAGAGGATGGCGAGGTCTGTCTGCCCTGTTATTAGTTCACAGTTGTGTTACTACTAAGAGAGCGGAAAACCCCAGGGCTGCTCTGCCAGGCACAGTGGGGACCCTCCACTTGCTTGCCCAGCCTTGAGTTTTTCCTGGGTGGGTGCTGTCATGACAAGGACCCCAGCACCCAGGTGAGGAGGGGGCAGAAGAGTGTCCACAGCCTCCTCTGGTCTCCCAAGTTCCTCTGTTGGTGACGCGTGTCTTCTTTCCTTTTCTTTCTCTACTCTCAGTCTCCTCGGAGCAGATCGAGCAGCTGCACCGGAGGTTTAAGCAGCTGAGTGGAGACCAGCCCACCATCCGGTAAGACCTGCCGCTGGCTGGCGCGGGCACCAGGCTGGGCCTGTGGCGCTTGGGGACTTTCCTTTGTTTTTCTCTTCCTTGAGGGTAGCGGAGGGTTGGGAGAGCCCCTGGTGGTCCCTGTCCTGAAACAAGCCTGCAGTTGTTTAAATTCTTCTGGTCCCTTCTAAGACAAGGTGTCCCCTAGCTGGAGGGGACAAGCCACTTCTGTTGTATTGGGACCAGAGACTTTTAACTGGAGTGGAGGAAGGAAAGGGGAGGAGCAGCCCCTGGGCCACCCAAGCGCCAGGACCCTGCCCACCGCTGGGTGCACAAGGTGAGTCGTGTGGTGCAGGGTGCCAGTGTGGTCCCAAGGTCCCCGTCTTGGGATTCTGCTTCCTTCCATCATTTACAGCCTCAAGTTTCTGTCAAGGAAGATCGACCTTCTTGATCGTGTTTTAAAAGTTACTTTTCTAGATGCCATCCAAGTGGTATTTTTTTTTAATGGGAAAGAATGCCTTGGCGGTGCCCGGGACTGGCTGAGTAGTTTGGAAGGAGGTTGGTGAGGGGGCCTTGGCGTGGAGGGGTCGGGTGGTCACAGAGTGGGCCAGAGAGCTTCAGGTCTGGCTGCAGCAAGCCCAGCTGACTGTCCCAAGGGAGCAGATTTCTACCACAGACTTTCTAACAGATGTGTCCTCAAATAAACATCCAGGGCCTCAAGGTGACAGTCACTGGAGCTTTAAAAGCTTTAAATAGTCCAGGAAAACTTCCTCCTCCTTAGTAGACAGACTTAAATGTCACCTTCCTTTTATGGAAACCAACACCAACGTCTCCACCTTCTCTTGTCTGCCTGAACAAAGGCACATTGTTGCTCTAGGGCATCCTGATCTCAGAGCATCCCTTTCAACAGCCCGGATGCTGGTGGTGGCTTGGTTCTTGTGGTCTTGACTTATCCAAAGTCGAGGGCAACCAGGACCAGCACCCTCAGGGCCACTCACCTGCCTGCTATTCCCACTCACCCCCAGGAGGGAGAGCCTGAGCCAAGTGTAAGCTACCCGGCCTGTCATTGGCTCTCATGGGACCACGTGTCTGAGTCTGAGCCAATCACCGTGACCAGGAGCTGGGCATGCAAATTAGGCATGCCGCCCCCCCCCCCCCCCCCAGCTGTGAAGGCCTGGGTCTGGCTGGTGAGAGACTTGAGGGATGCAGAGGCAAACCCCAGGTTTGGGAAGCAAATCCCTAGTTGAATCCTTCCTGCCATTGGCTGTGTGGCTTTGGGCCAGTGGCCTGTTTCCCCGAGTCTTCTTGTGGAGTGCAAAGTGGGCATGCCGGTCCCCCCCTTTGGAGCTGATGCCTGCAGATGACGGAGACCGGGCTGGGTCCTTCCGCTGCACCCTGTGGAGGAGGGTGCAGAGTGGGGCTGAGCGCTGTGGGCAGGAGCAGGCCTGGAGAGGGAGGCCGCTCGGGGTTTTCGTTCCAGTGTCTATATTGCCTCGCAGCCCAGCATGGGCTATGGGAGAATCTTGGAAGAGTGCGCCCCATGCCAACTCGAGTGCCTGTGCAAATCACCTGGCAAGCTGCTGCGATACAGGCTTTGGCCGGGCGCGGTGGCGCACACCTGTCATCCCAGCGGCTGGGGAGGCTGAGGCAGGAGGATCGCGAGTTCAAAGTCAGCCTCGGCAAAAGTGAGGCCCTAAGCATCTCAGTGAGATCCTGTCTCTAAATGAAATACAAAATAGGGCTGGGGATGCAGCTCAGTGGTCCAGTGCCCCTGAGTTCAATCCCTGGTACCAAAAAAATTAAAAAAAAAAAAAAAAAAAAAGATACAGGCTTTGCCTGGGCAGGTCTGGGGTGGGCTTTGGAATTGCATTTCTAACTATCACTGCAAATGCTCAGCACCAAGGACAGCGCACAGTAGGTCTTCCTCTGTGGGACAGCTGCCAACTCCTCTTAAGTGACTCTGCACCGCCTCTGTGTTGACACTGACTGATTCTCTCTCTTCCCGCTCCTCACCAGCAGGACAGGGGCTCAGGTGAACCCGTGGCCCTCCCCACCCTCCCCAGATTGCCTATTTGTAATCAGATATTTTGGGGACCTGACCCAAGTCCAAACTTGAAATTCACCCATGTCTCAAACACAACTTATGTGCATAGGTGAATTTCATCTCTTAACTTTGTGTGAAACTCGGTCTCATGGTGTGGTATTGTCCAGTTGCTGGTCATGTCACCAAGTCCCAGATTTCAGATTTTCTAATCAAGGATGCTCAAACCTGTGAAAAGAGCCCAGGCAAAGAGGATCTGGGGTCAACGCATGAGAACTGCCCACAGGTGAGGCTGCTGTTCTTTGAGCTTGACCTGGGTGTGGGGCAGAGGGGCGTGTCCCTTGCGTCCTGCACAGCCCCACAGGAAGCTGTAGGAACACTTGCTCTCTCCGGGTGGCAGGCGGGAAGTAGGGCTCTGAGACAGGATTGAGAGTTCAAAGCCAGTCTCAGCAAAAGTGAGCCTCTTGGTCACACAGCTTCTAAGTGGAGGAGCCAGATTTTCATCTTAACCTGCCATTTTCTACCCATGTCCTGTCTGGACCCCTCTGTCTCAAAAATCATCTCAGAACTTCTGGGGGCAGGTTGACCCTGAAGCATTTACTGCCCCGCTTCAGGACCCCACTTTTAGGTATACCCTCTTTTGGGGAGGGAAGCACCTGGGATTGAACCCAGGGCCTCACACATCCTAACCAAGTGCTCTGCCACTGAGCTGCACACCCAGCCTTTTTGATCTTGAGACGGGTCTTTTAAGTTGCCCAGGTTAACCTCAAGCTTGCAATCCTTCTGCCTCCGCCTCCTGAATGCTGGGATTATAGGTGTGGCTTGTGGGGTTCTTCACAAGGCCCAGACCTGGGTAGTTTAAACCTCATGATGTTGAATGTGGAGTGATGTTGGGGTGGACCCAGCCCCAGGCATGCATGGGGAAGGCAGGTGACTTCACCAAGAGCGGAGCCACTCAGGGCCACCACAAAGCGTCCTGACTTCAGGTCCTGTGGGGGCCTCCCCACCATTGCTTTTCCCTCAGAAGTCAGAGCGGGGTCACGCGCGTATGCGGAAGTCCCAGCTGCCAGGAGCGGCCAGGCACCGGGGTTCCCACTGGACTGCGTGGCCTTGGGGTTCTCCAGGATTTTCAGAGGTTCGCACCTCGGACCCATTTCACCAGTGAAGACACTGAGGTTAGAGCAGTTCTGCCCGCACAGCCGGGCTTGGGGTTCAACTGCCATCCGCAGAGCCAAAGCCCCCAACCTGCAGTCACGTTGCTGTCCCCAGAGTTAGGTCCCTTTGCTTGTGACCTGCCGGGGTCGGGGCAGTGCTGTACAAGTCCTCGGGACAGTGAAGCTGGGGCCCTGTGACCCTCCCCAGGGCATGTCACGGTCAGGATCAATAGGTTCCCCAAGTTAGCGAGAGCTCCCTTCCCGCCACCTGGGGGGCTCCCCGTCTTTACGGAGGGGGTTTGGGAGCAGGTGTGGGAAGGGAATCTGGAGGAGTGGGGTGGTGGGATGGGGTGCAGAGGTGTCCCTGGAGCAGCTCCCCGGGTCTTGGCTTACAGGCGGCACTCACGTGTGCCATGTCCAGAGATCCTCTCCCCAAGGTGTGGGATGCTGACACCGTCCCTGCTCCCCGACGAGCAGGCGCCCAGGGCCTTCTGTGGGAGGTTCTAGGGCAGATCTCCTGGTAGAGGGGAAGGGGTGCAGAGGGTAGGCAGAGCCGGCGAGAGCTAGCATAGAGCAAGGCTGTTAGGTGTCATGGTGTGATAGAGGAAGGGGCAGAAAGGGTACCACTCTTGGGACCGTGGTGGGGACAGGGGACCTCAGGGTGGGCAGTCAGGGAGGGCTCCTCAGAGGAGGCCGCATCTGGGCTGATACCAGGGGGAGGGAGGAGCTTCTGGGTGCGAAGGCCGGGAGGACCCAACTTCCCTAGCTTGAGGGTGGGAGATGGAGCGGTGGGGACAGGTCACCCGATGTTGTATGGCTGGACAGCTTCCTGTTGTCCTTGAGCTAAAATACTCATGACTCGAAACCCCACCTGCACATTAACCGCCAGAGTTGCGCCTCCAGCAAGACAGACCCCACACTCCTGCAGCAACCCCACCTGCCTCATGTCCCAAGCGAGCCCCTCATCAGCCCTCCCAGCTGTCCCTGTCTGTCCCCAGACCTCACCCTTCCAGCGGCTGAATCTCCTGAGTCTCCCCTGGTGTCCCTCTTGGGCTCACCCCTGCTTCTGCGGGCTCAGCAGACACTGCAGCTCCTCCCTCCAGGAGCCCAGGCTTGCTGTCCCCCCACTTCTCCCTGTGCACCCCCAGACTGCCATCGTCTCTTACAGCAGCACCCTGAAGCCTGATCTCTGGTCCCCCTGTGTCCTCAGGTGATGGGCTGGGCCTTGCCTGGGTGCCCACCTGCTAGATGAGATGCTGTCCCTGCCTTGGAGAGCTGGGGGCCTCAGATTCCCACAGGGGAACATCAGACAGCGCAGGGTGGGGACTTGGAGCTGGGCGGGGGAGGACGGATGGCCTTGCTGGATGGGGAGCCCTGGGCCTGCAGAGAGCAGGGGCTGAGAATCTGGGGCCTCGCTGGGGGCTTGGCTTGCAGCCTCCGTGGGGTTAAGCCGGACTCGGGGCCCAATGTGCAGGGACGGTTGCAGCTGCGCTGGCCCCAGCGGCCTCTGGACACCAGCCCACACCGCGGCTCCGGAGGGGCCAGCAGCCTTCACTGGTGATTTTAATCTCGTTTCCCCCTGGGCCAGATGCCTGTCCTGCCTGTCCCTGGTTCCTAACGGGGCCTCAGGATGGACGCTCAGGGAGCAGATGCCACTCTCCTCCCGCCCCCTCTCTTTTTGTGCTGGGGATGGAACCCAAGACTTGGCACCTATGGGCAAGAGCTCTACCACCGAGCCACAACCCCGATACCGTCTCTTCCACTTTAAGTTAAAATGCACAGCCCAAGGGAAGGAAGTGGCCAGGGGAGGAAGCGGCCTGGAGGGTGAGAGCAGGCAGAGGACAGAGCCCTCGCGCTGGCTGTGTGACTGCAGGTTAGTCACTTTGCTTCTCTGGGCCTCGCCACGTTGCTGTGGGTGTGTGGACGCGTGGTTAAACCTCACAGCGACTGGTACAGCCTGGCGTGGCAAGAGCACTTCAGGGCTTGAGCTCCCCAGAGGAGGTGTGGGTCCCCTGGGCCCTCGTGGGCCAACCCCACGATCTGATGTCCCCTGGGGCAGCGCTGGTGGACGCTGGTCGCTGTAAGTTGTCTCTGGTCCCAGCCTGGGCTCCGAGGAGAGGCAGAGCACAGTCCCCTGGCAGGACACCTCCGCCTGGCCAGTTCAACCTGCCCAGAGGGCACCTGGGGGCGGGTGGGGAGGAGGGGAGGACAGGCTGACACCGGGGTCGATGGCACTGAAAGCCTTTCCCAGGCCCCGGGCTCTGGGCTGCTGGTGGGTCAGAGGCTGGCAGGTGTCGGGTGTCCCTGACAGAGACCTTGCAGCCCCATAACCACTGAAGCTAGGGAACAGCACCTCCCTCCCTCCCTCCTTCCCACTGCTCTCCTCCCTGGGCCTGGACAGCTGGTCCCGGGGAAGGAGCTGGGCCTGGCACTGGACACCCAGGGTCCCCTCCACAGGCACTTGTATTCCCTGGCCTGAAAACTGCCATCTGTGGTGCACTCAGTATACAGCAGGTGCTAAGTGTGTCACTAAATTGGTCACATGAGCTGCACACAGACCGCGTGAGACTCCTGTTTCCAGAGGAGGAGACTGTGGCTCAGAGAGGCAGAGTCGCTTGACCAGGGTAGCAGAGCAGTGCGCGGCCCAGGCGGATGCCAGGAGCTGGGCTCTGGGCCTCTCCAGCAGGCCCCAGCAGGAGAGCCGGAGGCTCTGGGTGCCCTGGGCCGCCTGCTCGCAGGGTGGCTTCGTCCTGTTCCCCCCAGTTCCCTCTCAGGTCCATCTCTCGGTCAGGGATGGGGACTTTGAGAAATGCAGGGCAGGGTGGCATGGGGGTCCCGCATGGCGGTCCCGTGTGACACTCCAACCCCAGCTGGCTGAGCTGGACAGGTCATGGAACCTCTCTGTGCCACACCTGTTAGGTCAGGGACCACAGAGCCACCATGAGGCGCTTCCGGGTAGCGGGGGCCTGGCCAGGTCACTCGCACAGAGAACACGAGCTGTCGCTGTCCGTCAACCATTCGTGACTTTGTGGACTGATTGTCTCCCCTGTTAACCTCGGCTTGTTCCTCTCCAGGGCCTGGCCTGTCTGCCCCGTGTCCTGTGGTCCCCTCCAGCCAACTGGAAGGTGGGAGGGCAGCACCCTGTCCTAGCACATGGGGACCTGATGTGCCCAGAGAAGAGTACCCGGGAGGGACTCTCGTGGCGGGGACTGCCCAGCAGAGCGTTCCCAGCCCAGGCCCCCTGTGCTCCCCGGTCACTGCCCCCGGGAGCTGGCCTCACCCTGACTGCTAGCTGTGGGGTTCCTGGGCACGCTCTGTGCCCTGGTGTGAATGGAGTCCTAGCTCAGGGCTCCTTCTGTGAGAGTTCAGGGAGGTTTGTAAATAGTGTCATGGAGATTTAATGTAGATATTGAACAATTTGTCTGTTTAAAGTCTGAGATCGAGTTTAGAACCTCTTATAAAAGACACCCCAGAGCCATTCACCATCACCTGGCCCCCGGAAGCCAGTGCTGTGCTTCCCGTCTCCGGATTCACCTCTTCTGGGCATTTTAGATGATTAACGTCATGCGTGTGGCCTGCGTGTCTCTCCTTTACTTAGCAGGATCTTTCTGGGGTTCGTGGGGTAGCCATCCTCTGTGGTGGGCTTGGTTTGGTCTGGAGATGGGGGTCTTGCTAAGTTGCCCAGCCTGGCCTCGAACATGTGATCCTCCAGCCTCAGCCTCCCGAGTAGCAGGGACTACAGGTGGACACTCCCACACCTGGCTTACTTCGTCCCTTTTTATGGTCCCCAAATTTCCATTATTTTTTTATGACTGCCTAACATCCCGACACTCTGGGCCAACTGCTCTGAGTGCCTCCTCCCTCGGAATGGGCTCCTGCACTGACGCGGTCTCCAGAGTTTGGCCATTTTCCACCAGCAAGCCCAGCCACGAGGGAAGGACAAGCAGCCTCTTGGGGGTGAGGAAAACTGAGGGGATCCAGGAGGCAGCCTGGTCCTGCTCACGCCTGTGTCTGCCTAGCCTCGGGCCCCCCGTGAGGGGCGGGCAGCGTGGGCTGAGCCATGTGCTTGGGGCATGGCTCATACCTCGCCCAGCACGAGTCTGCCCAGGGTTGGAGTCCCAAGGCTCACAACTGTCTTCCCAACTCCCCGGCTGTGCGTGTCACCTTGTTCCTCAGGAGCAGCAGCCTGTGCCCTAGGTCCCTCCTGAGGTCACTGTCCATGGGCATCCAGAGCCCAGGCAAGAGGTGAACAGGAAGCGGCTTCCAAGAACAGGGAAGGAGGACAGGCAGGTGAAGGGTGTAGCGGTGCCTGAGCCCCAGCCTGGGGGAGCCGTGCGCGCTCCAGGGCACCCTCACTGGAAACGCACGCTCCCTGCCCCAAGCCCACAGGTGGTGGTTTTGAAAAACAGCTTTACTGAAATCAAATTCACCTGCCACGTAGCTCACCCATTAAAATGCAGGATTCAGAGGGGTTTAGTGAGAGTCGTACATCAGGCACCACCATCAAGCCCAGAACATGTATGTCACCCCAAGAAGAAGCCAAATTCTTTCAGATGTCACTTTCCATCCTCCAACCCCAGCCCCTGGCAACCCTGTTCTGTGTCATGGACTAGCCTGCTCTGGACACTTTATCTAAGTACAGTCAGGGCATATGTGACCATTTGTGACTGGCTTCTTTCACTTGCCATCATGTCTTTGAGGCTCCTCTGGGAGGTAGCAGGAATCGTTGCCCCTTAGGGCTGAGTCGTAGTCCTCTGAATGGACATACCACAGTCTTCCCTTTCACCAGCCCGCAGACATCTGGATCCTCTCTCCTCTGGCTACTGTGAGTGATGTTGCTGTGAAGTACAGGTGTTCAGTTCTCCTGGGCTCATACCTAGGCATGTGGTGCTGGGTCATGTGGTGACTGTTGGCTCTTGAGGAACTCAGACTATTTCCCAAAGCTCCCAGCCAGCGTCCTGCTGCTCAGAGCCCAGAGCAGGCAAAGTAGGGGTTCCCTTCCTGGGGCCTAAGGACAGGCATCCAGAATGGGGTACACACCCTTTGTGTCTGCACGAATGTCCAGTCTCTCTCAGATTCTCAAGTCTCCAGGTGGGCGGAGGGGACGTGAGGCCCATTTCAACCCTCTCTTAACTCTGAGCTCTTCCTCGCGAGGCCTGCTGGGGATGGGGCCGTGCAGCTGGGCACGTGAGGGTGACACTGGCTGACGTGTGCTTTCTTCTTGTTCTTTCCCTGGCGTTTCTCCTCTTGGAAACCAGCAAGGAGAACTTCAACAACGTCCCTGACCTGGAGCTCAACCCGATCCGATCCAAAATCATCCGTGCCTTCTTTGACAACAGGTGGGCTCTCTCCCCTCAAAGGACAGATGGAGGGTCACCTTGTCCTTTGTGACTTGTGGCACCTGTGTGCTCAGAGCAGCCTCGTGAACCAACACAGATTGTGGGGCTATGTTGAATTGGGCGTCCGATGGTTCTAGATTCATAGCTGGGCCACTCTGGGCAGCTTACTGGGTCTCTCTGGGTGTTCTATGTTAGTCATCTCTGGTTTGTAACAAATGGCTCAAACTTGGTAGTTTTTTTTTTTTTTCCTTTCCTTTGTGGTACTGGGGGTGGGACACAGGGCCTCAGGCATGCTAAGTCCAGAGTCCCATTCGCAGCCCCAACTTGGTGTTTCTCTCTCATCATTTCTGTGGTCAGGGATCCAGCTGCAAATGAGCCCAGGCTCTTATGAACTTAGCCAAGGCGTCAGCTGGGGTGAAGTTACACCTGGGGGAGGCTGTGCTGCCAGCTTCCTTCCTGTGGCCGCTGGGAGGCATCTTGGGGGCCTCACAGATGGCAGCTGGCTTCCTCCAGAGTGACATGCCCAAATGAGGGGTCCCAAGGTGGAAGCCCCACAGTTTGTGACTCATCTCTGAAGACACGTCGCCTGACTATTGCTGTGACTGCACTAGAAGTGAGCCACCAGGCCACCCCGCAGCTGAGGCGGTGAGGCCCCTGATGTCCAGTCCACGTGGGCCTCTGGTTTGGGGACCTAGGGTTGAAGGCTGGATAGGAGGACTGGAAAGCGGGCACCTGGCAGGAGTGTGTGAGTGTGTGTGCGTGTGCCTGGCGTTCACACAGGGGTGTGTGTGCACGGCCGCGAAGGCTCAGATGCACACCTGAGCAGGTGAACTTGGCCTGGGCCCGAGGACACGCCTCTGCAGCAGGACAGGGAGGCTGGTGCGTCTGCGCAGCACTGCGGAAACTAAGGCGAGCCAAGTGGTTGTGGAGATGAGCCCAGGGAGACGGCCCGCGACTGTGAGCCTGGGCGGAGTGTGGCCAGGCAGGTCGGGGCATGGGGGACCTCCTGGAGGGCGAGACGCAGCTTGTCCTGATCAGACGGCGCTTCACAGGTGCCTACGTGGGTCCAGGTGCAAGACCTGGGCTTTTTACTGCTCTTGAGCAAAACCTGGCCCAAGGCCACGTGGTCTCAGCAGTGGACTCAGAATTGAGTGGGTCACGTTCCCCCACTAAATACAAATGTGTCCCCGGGTACAGGTGGCACAGAAGTGGGGGGAAAGGCGGTTGTGCAGGGAATGGAGAGAGACCCAGGGGTGGGGGCGGGACGCAGGGCAGGTTCCAGAGTTGACATGGGAGCTAGACCTGGAAGGAGGGCGGCCCAGCGGGCAGTTGTAGGTCATCTCCCCTGCCCCCTCCCGGACGCGAGCAGCAATGGGTCAGCACCTGTAAGGTTCTGAACACGGGGAGGGGCCTCAGTGTCCCTCTGCGACCCGGCGTCCATTCTTCACCTCCCTGGAACACGACTGGAGGAACGTCCAGGGTTTTCAGGGGTCTCAGTCCTTTCGAGGTGAGGCAGGACAACGTGGCAGAGGAGTGTGGTGGAGGGAAGCCGCTCACACGGTGATCAGGAGGCAGAGAGCCCGGGTGGCCACTTCGGCCAAGCGGTTAGGGCGTGGGGGGACGCAGCCAGGCTGGTACCTCCCTCTGGCCAGAGGACAAGAGGGCACACCCCTGGGACAAGGACTCCTCACTCAGAGGGTGGGAAGTTCTGCAGAGCTGACCGAGGGCCACTGTGGGCAGTGTGGACTGAAGGATAGAGGGGGGGACGTCAGTCCATCAGGCAATGTTAAGGGTCCAGAGGTGGACATCGAACCCAGCGGCCATGTCCAGGGAGGACGTCAGGCAGGGGCCAGCTGTTGGGGGCTCTGGGGAGGAAGCGATCCAGGAAGGGGTGCTAGGGGCCAGCCCAGGCGGCAACTGGGGGTCACTAAGAACTGTGGGGGTGACGGGGTTCGGTTTGCATTTTGTGAAGCCCATTCTGGCTGCACCAGGAGCTGAGCGAGGGGTGAAGCCAGGAAAGGCCGCGTGTGGGCGGCTAGTGGCAGGAGTTGAGGGGAGGCCGGGTCTGGAGCCGTGGGGGGCTCACCATGCACCTTCCCTACGGAGTCACCATCAGATGACCCCAGGGACCTTTGGGGCTGCTCACAGCTCTCAGGATACTAAGGTTTTGAACCGGTGGCTGAGTACAGGGGCTGGCGAGCTCTCTGTGGAGGACGCGGGCCCGGGGCGGGGAGGGTCCGAGGCTCTGCAGGCCATGGAGCCCTGCTGCTCTCCTGCCATCTGGACGGTGCGTCCCAACAGGGTCGTGTCTTATGAATGCTGACATTTAATCTTTGTGTCGTTCTCACTTGTCAGGAAATATCATTTTGAATTTATTTTATTTATTTTTTTACAAAATTTGTTTTCTTTTAGCCATTTAAAACCAAGAAAATGCCCCTTACCAGACAGGCCGTACAAAAATAAGTGACATACAAAATGAGTGACAGGCCCCGTTGGGCCCTCGGGCTCTAGTTGCTGACCCCTGAGATAAAGGGAAGGGTGGGTTGGGCGAGTCAGTGGATGGCTTGGTGCCTCAGTTTCCCCACCTCCTGGTGCCCACCACAGTCCCCCGGGCGTCCCTCCCTGGTGGCCCTCCTCCACGGCTCTCGGTGTCCGCCTCTTCCCAGCCCCGTGGATGGTGAGCTCTGGCAGGTGCTGGGCTTTGGACTCCTGGGCCCCCCGGGGACCCCACGGACCAGGTTCTCGGGATACAGAACCAGATGGGACAGTGTCGAGGGCCAAGTTCTGAGGAGATGTGGCCGTGGAAGGACGAGGTCCCGTCTGTAACTGAATAACCCCCCCACCTCGTGTCCCGCAGGAACCTGCGCAAGGGGCCCAGCGGCCTGGCCGACGAGATCAACTTCGAGGACTTCCTGACCATCATGTCCTACTTCCGGCCCATCGACACCACCCTGGGCGAGGAGCAGGTGGAGCTGTCTCGGAAAGAGAAGCTGAGATGTGCGTCCCCGAGGCCCCCGGCTGCCACCTCTTCAAATCCCTGCGGCAGGAGGGTGGGCCATGCGTGGAAGGGAGGGAGCGCTCGTGTCCTTGTGTGGCCAGTCCCTAAAAGGGCAGGTTGTGCGTGTCCCTCCTCCCAAGTCACATCCGGCGGTCTCGTGGTAAACGGCCCAGCAGTTGGTGGCTTTCTGGGACTTGAAGGAGCCACGGGTTTCGATTCAGCCACTCCAGTCAGTGGCTCAATGGCCCTTGAGCTCAAACCTGGATGTGGAGGTGCCATTTACAGACACATGTGGCACCAAGGACTCGGAGCCCCTAGTGCAAGGGTGACGCTCCCCCGGCAGGGTCTGCAGAAGGCCAGCCTGCGTCCTGGAGGAGCCACCAATGTCCCCTGACTCGAGGGGACGTGTGCTCCTGGCCAGCCAGAGGGCAGGGTCCAAGCCATGGCCTGAGTCACATCTCCTTTGTCCTCGGTGGACTTTCCCATGACTCCGACATCCCTGTCCACCACAACCCGGGCTCAGTCTCGCCATCAGGAAAATGTCAACAGGGGCCTTGGCTGTGTTTAGCACTGACGTGGGCACAAGGGACTGGTGGGATCGCTGGGCTGATGTCCGGGGCCTCCTGGGCCGCTCTGACCAGGCGGGCACCTGCGTCCACCCAGCTTTCCACTTGCCCTGCAGGCTGGGTGGGGGGCCCCAGGGGCTGTGGAGTCAGGTGGACACAGATCCAAACCTAAGGTTTGGCAACCTGAGCTTGGACCGGCCTCAGCAGCTGTCTGTGGATGGGTCTCTGGCAGCCCTGACCCCCAGGCTTGGGGACCAGGGGTGGTGGAGAGCTCTGCTCAGGCCTGGCCTCTGGTCGATGCTGGATGAGTGGCCAGCACAGAGCAGCTGGGGAGCTCAGGGCTGAGCGAGGGGTGGTGGGGAGCGGCCACCTCCTTTAGCTCCTCACCTCTGCTGGGCCACAGGCCACAGGATGCTGGTGTAGGCCACAGGATGCTGGTGTCCGTAAAGAGGGAAATAGAGATGCTGCTGCCCCTGCTGCCCCTGGGGGCCAGCTCTGCCTTCTTCAGCCTCGCAAGACCCTGAGGGAGACACTGTTTTCCCACTTCACAGATGGGGAAACTGAGGCTCAGAGAAGTTAAGTCACTTGCCCGAGGTCAAGGCACCCCACTGGGCAGTGGTCAGTCGGCCCTCTGGCCTGTGCTCTTGACCCCTAAGGTTTTGGCCTGAGGTTTCATGGGTGACTGGGTGCGGTGTAGCTCTCAGAGAGCGGGCGGGGCCAGGCTCTCCTAACTGAGTCCTCCCCTGGCTGCCCCCAGTTCTGTTCCACATGTACGACTCGGACAGCGATGGCCGCATCACCCTGGAAGAATATCGAAATGTAAAGTATGCTCTTCTGCCCTGCCCGGCTCCCTGCCCCTCCACCTGGGTGGGGGCCCCAGGTCACCGCCTCTGCCCACCTGCAGGTGGTGGAGGAGCTGCTCTCTGGAAACCCCCACATCGAGAAGGAGTCGGCGCGCTCCATCGCCGATGGGGCCATGATGGAGGCGGCCAGCGTGTGCGTGGGGCAGATGGTGAGTGCCCTGGGGGCCCAGCCCCGTCCCTCCCACCAAGGGCCGCTCTCCCTGGGGTCCGGGGACGCGTCACTGGGTGTGGTGCGGCAGGAAGGCCTGGCCTTGAACAGCTCCCAGGCCCCTCCGGCTTTCCCTGACCCCTAGGAGACTTCAGGTCCCAACCCCCGGGGGGGTGCGCAACACAGGGGTGCAGAGATCACGTCCTCACAGCTTGGGGTCCAGCAGGTCCCACTGCGGCCTTCCCGCCCAAGGCCGCCTGAGGGCTGGCACTTGCAGGGCCCCTGGCCGTCAGCCCTGCTTTGTGTGGTCTCTGGCCTTTAGGCAGGGTCGGCAGGGGCTGTCCCTTGGGCTGGGAGCGACCTGGTCTGGGGTCAGACCAAAGGGCTGAAGGGGGCCCAGTGGGTCAGTGAAGCAGAGGGGCCAGTCCTCCCTGAACTCCTCGTTGACCCCATTCCACTGGGAAACCCGAGGCTCAGCGCAGGGAGAACCCGGCGGAGCCTGCGCCCTTTTCTGAGCAGGATGGACCCTCTTGCAGGGCTGGGTACAGCCACCAGCTGGTAGCCGTGGCCCCAAGCCCCAGAGGGCTGCGCAGGCAGTCAGTTGACATCCCGATGGGTGCAGTGGGTGGCGCTGATGTTCTCGCCTCTTGGCACCGCGGGGCTGTGTCTGGACACCTTGATGCTGTGTCGGCCCAGCCTGGGCGCAGGGGGTTTCCTGGTCTTTGTGGCGAGTTCCCCGGCCAGCTGCTGGGCCAGCCCCAGGGCGCAGGGCGGTCATCTCACGGCCTGAGTTTCATCTGTCTGCTTCTCGGCCCAGAGGGAGCCCTGGCCTTGGTGAAGCCACCCACTCAGCAAATCAGCCGCTGCAGGAAGGCTGCGACCTGGGGCGAGCGGGATCCCCGCCGGCTGAGGAGCCAAATTCCCACTTGATTTAATTACATTCTCCTTCAAATCTCTCCTGCCCCACTCCAGCTTCAATTGGTGACAGTTTTCTTAATTTGGGGAAGTGAAATTGCTGGCAGCTGGCATCTGCTGGGCTGCATCGAATCAGAGTGGCCAGGGAGTTGGCTGGCTTCCCCAGCCTGTGTCCCGCAGGACCCGACAGGTGGGGACAGGCCCCTGTGCGCAGAAGCCCGCGCACGTCTTCCTTTGGGCCTTGTGGGTCCTGGGTGGGCCTTTCCCGTGTTTTCTGATGTCAAGGTCACAGATAAACAGCGTGCACTCAGTGCCATCAGGCCTCTGAGGACGCTCCATATTTCTGACAGCGCCACCTGCCAGAGACAATCGGTCCACTGTCCTCCCCTTAATGGACTTGCCAAGCCAGTTATGAACTTGGCGGTGACTTCTTTCCTGAGTGCTGCCCGGCAGGCTGTGCTCCGTGGCGTGGCCTGGTGGGGACTTCAGCTGGGCAGCTTCCTCGTCCCAGCCCCTGTACCCTCTTTCTTGCCTTCCCCACTATCCAGCCCCTGTGGATCTCTGTCACCCTTCAACAGACTCGGGACCCAGGGGAGAGGGTGGCCACTTTTTTCCATGCTCATGAGAGGGAAGAGGAGGAAGGAGCCCTGGGGACAGGGCCGGCCCAGGCCAGAGGACAGCTAGTGGTTTTATAAATGTGTTTAAAAGTAAAGCAGCAGCCGGGAGGGGGCACAGTCCTGCCCACAGAGGATCCTCCGGAACTGTCCCCAGCAGTGGCCTTTGCACCCCGAGGCGTCATCTGTAAGGCGGGTTTGAGGATGGAGCCCACCTTGGGCTGTGTCAGGGTGGTATTGTCACCGTAAAGCTTTGATCTTATGGCTGGGGACACCCGGAACGTTAGCCTATGTTTTCTTAGATGTGCGGGGTGTGAGGCCCTGAGGCTTGGTCTCTCCTTGCCCTTCGCCCACCCACTCCTTCCCCTCTCTACAGGGAACCCCGCTGACTTTCCTACAGAAGCCCAAATATTACTTGTATGTCCTTGGTACTTTGTTATTTTTATGTTTTTTTTTTAAATATATTTTTTAGTTGCAGAGGGACACTGATACCTTAGTTTATTTATTTGTATGTGGTGCTGAGGATCACACTTAGAGCCTCACACGTGCCAGGCAAGCGCTCTACCGCTGAGTCGCAGCCCCGGGGGCGGGGGGGGGGGGCTGTTATTTCTCTGTTTTGTTGCTGGGGTTGAACCCAGGGCCTTGCACATACTAAGCATGCCCTCTGCTCTGTGCTGACCCCCTCGTCCATGTCTCAGGTGGCAGAGCCCAGCCGGGGCCTGGGGAGCTGCCCGCCCGCATCTGCAGGTGCTGTCCTCCTCCGTGTGGCTCTGCACCCATCTCGGGCTTTCCCGCATCAGCACGAGTCAGTGACCCCTTCTTAATAGCACCCGGGACTCAACCCTTGGACCACTGAGGTCTATTTAGCTGGTCTTCTAGTGACGGACACTTAGGCAATTAGCTGGGTGTTCACTGTCACTAAGGTGCTTTGGGGTGAGGTTTTTGGATACGAGGTTGTCAAAGCCCCAGAGTAGAACTGGAAGAGGCAGGAGCCCCTGTGTGTTCCCTGTTGTCCCAGAGAGGAAAGAACAGAGTGACATGGGCATCGCCAAACACACTTGAAAGCCAGAGGCTCGGAGCCAGGCCAAGGCTGCTACTCGCCACACTGGCCCCCACCTCCGGGTGTCTGGACATTATCGTGGTGACTCATGGGCACGAGGGTGGCCACAGAGGCTGGCCCTTACTCCCCTGCCCCTTTCCCCAGTGGTCTGTGCACACAGATTAGCCTAGAATAGTTCTTATCAGAGCAGGGGATGATGTGGCAGGACGGGGGTGGGGGGCAGTGAGGTGTCTTGGCAGCCGGGCTGCTGGGGATGAGCAGGAGGTACGCCCTGGGGAAGGAGGCCCTGTCCTCTGCCCACCCTGTCTCCACCAGACCTTTCTGTGGGGGGGTGAGCGGGAGGGCCATGGTGAGCCTGCACCAGCCTCAGGCAGGATGTTGGGGTTCAGGGTGACTCTGTGTGGCAGCAGACAAATGACCCAGAAAGCAGCCCCAAACCCTCTGTGCTCTGGGTGTTGGGGAGGCAGGTCTCCGCCAAGGGAGGGTGAGGCCCAGCCCCTCACCCTCTGCCTTGCGCTCTTGTCCCTAGGAACCGGATCAAGTGTATGAGGGGATCACCTTCGAGGACTTCCTGAAGGTGGGTGCCGGGGAGGAACAGAGGTGTCTGGGTGTGGGGGCTTCAGAGAGAGCCTTGAAGACCTCAAGGAGCTGCTGGTCAGGAAACATGTCTCTGAAATGCAGTGGGGGTGGGGGCAGTGTGCCAGGGACCAGCATGACCCTTGAGGTTGAAGGGGCCTTGAATAGGCTTCCCTGATTTTTTTGGGGGGGGGCACGTGGGGTACCAGGGATGGAGCCCAGGGACACCCGGCCACTGAGCCACATCCTTGGTCTTATTTTGCATTTTATTTAGAGACAGAGTCTCGCTGAGTTGTTTAAGGCCTTTAAGTTGCTGAGGCTGGCTTTGAACCTGCCATCCTCCTGCCTCAGCCTCCTGAGCCACTGGGGTTACAGGTGTGTGCTATTGCGCCCAGCGGCTTCACTGATTTTTATCAAATGGGTGATGTTTGCACATGGCCAAAGCATCTTAAGCAGTAGACAATGAAAGGTCAACCTCTGTCTCTCTTGGGAGCCCGGCCTTCCCAGAGGCAGCCCCTATTCACAGTGGTGCAGGGATTCTGGAAACTTCCTGGGCCTGGACAAGCACCAACAACGGCTCTGCCTCCTCCTTCCTGGCCGTGTCTGGGTGTCGTTTTTAAGTGGCTGCCGCTCGCTCCCCCTCCTCTCATGGTGGATTCTGCAGCCCCTGGGGCAGGTGGTGAGGGTGGTGTGGGCCCTGTTGATGGCAGCAGGCCCTGGGCAGGGAGTTGAGACCAGCTCCTCGACATTTGGACAGTTGAGATCTCAGAGGAACCTGCCTGCTTTGGCCCTGGACATCCTCAAGACGGCGTCTCCATGGCCTTCCTGGGAGCTGCGGGGGGCGGGGGGCAAGGGGCAAGGAGGCCCAACAGTACTGGAAGGGCTCTTGGCCCAGCCGCGCAGCACCAGGCACGCAGGGCCTGGCCTGGAGTGGGGCCGGGGCCCAGGGCTGAGGCTCCCCTCCAAGCCTGTCCCTGACCTGGCCAGCCTTCTGCAAGTGCAGGGGGAGGCAGATGGCAGGGCAGGAAGCACAGAACCAGCTGCAAGGGAAAGCCCAGAAGGGACTTCTGGGTCACAGGTCAGCAGCCACCTTCACCCCGTCAGTTGCCGCATGTCAGGGCTGGGCAGGGTGATGGGCAGGGGAAGGGCAGGTCTGTGCTTGTGAGCAGGGTCACTCTGGCCTGCACTGGGGCCTCTCATCCAGGGAAGACAACAGGTGAGGACCTAGGAGCCTGGGGAGGAAGGAGGCTCAGGGAAGGGAGGCCAGACACAGGGTGAGTTTCTTTTTTGCCTGTGAAGTGCCTTCCCCTACGGCTTCTCAACCCCGTTCCTGCACGTGTGGGGCTCTTTCATGACAAGCCAGGTCCCCTCCTTTCCCCTCCCCTCCCTGGTCCCTTCCAGGGGCCTTGGTGACCATGTTGCTGTCCAGCACTTAGCAGAAACCACCCTGAGACTCTCTCACCCACCCAGTGAGTGGGAGCCACCTGGATGGAACCAGATTGGTCTCCTGTGTCCCTCGCAGCACCCAGATCAGGGGCAGGGACTGGGAAGCACCTGGGAGACTGGGCAGTGACAAGAAGGCCCCCCCCCGCCCGTCTCCTTGTCTCTGGGCGCCCTGGCAGCTCTGACTTTCCCAGCCTCGTGGCTGTCCCTGGAGACGCTGAGTGACAACTTGAGGGTTTGAAGTTCTTACATAAGCGGGGAGGCGGTGAGAAGTCACCCGCCCACCAAGTCCCTCCGTTCCTGTTCCCATCTCCGCATCTGTGGCGCCCTGGGCCCCGAGTTGCCAAGGAGTAGGAGAGAGTAGAGCTGTGGGGGTGTTGGGGACAGCACCAGTGCCCTGGCCAGGACGGATGGTAATGGCAGTGCCAGGGCATGGCCTTGGACTTGAACGTTAGGTGGGAATTCCCTTTCCCTGCCTAGAACACGGTGAGCGCTCAGGCTGAGCCCAGCAGACTGTCCTGTGCTTCTGCTTACTGATGGTGGCCTGTCACACTCCACAACTTTACCCTTACTGTTCACAAAATCCAATGAGACCTATGTCACCAGAGTCCTCCTAGTGTTCCGTGAAGGGGACAGCAGGTGGGGTGGTCCCCGCATCATATGAGAAGGGGGCTGAGGGGCTGTGGTGGTGGCGTGAGGACCATGGAGTCTGAAGGGGGTGTGGCGGGAGGGGACCTGCCTCTGGACTTAACCATAGCGTGCTGCGACACTCAGGAAGAAGCCAAATGTCACAGCCATATTAACCAGCAGGAGGACAGATGGGACTTGTTCTTCCTCACTCGGCTCAAGGCTCACGACAGCCCCTGGTCTTCACCTTGACCGGGGAAAGGGAGGGCGGGGGCCAGGACTGGGCCCAGGCAGCTGCGGCGAGGTGGGGACGCCCCTGACGCTGCTTGGTCCCTTACAGATCTGGCAGGGAATAGACATCGAGACCAAGATGCACGTCCGCTTCCTCAACATGGAGACCATCGCCCTCTGCCACTGACCCACTGCTGCCTTCCGGAGAAGCTGCCGAGAGAGGGGACAGCCTGGCCTGGCCTCCGCTGCGGCTCCTGTAAATAGTGGACGGGGTTCGTGTCCCCTGTGCCATCGGGGCTGTGGTATGTGGGACTTTGCAATTTTTATCTCTAATGACAATAAAAAAAAAAAAAGGTTTGTTAATGAGCGCGACTTGTGTCCGTTCCTGGTTCCTGGCCAGGGCCAGCCGTGGGTGGCTGGGACTGAATAAGAGGGACAGGGGTGGCCGGGTCATCTTAAAGGGCCGGTTTCCTGTTGGCTCTGGGCCCAGTGCATGCTGGTGGCTGGTGATCAGCCTGGTCCACCTGGCTCCTCGGCCCTCAGTGGGGAGACCAGGAGGAGCCACTCTGCTGCGTGTGTCCCCAGGGCTGGACTCAGGCAGGGCTTCCTCAAACTCGTGACCAGTGTTCACACAGGGAGCCCTGGCTATGGGCGCTGCCTGCCCCTGGGCACTGGGACTCCAGGCTGGCTGGCTGCAGACTCTCAGACTCTGGTGGTGGGGACCTCGCTGGGGCTGCTGGTCCGGGCTCCTGTCGGATGGGCCAGCTGCACCCCCCAGGACTCTGTGGTCCCCATGCAGGTGGCAGCAGCAGAAGTCAGAGGAGCGTCTGCCCAGGTGAGCATCTAGGACTCGCTGTCACCTATTGGAGGAAGCTGTGGAAACAAGTCACTGGTGTTGGCTGATGGTGATGGCAGGAGGGTCAGCAGAGGACCGTGTGGAGCTGGCAGAGCTGCAGAAACTCCTGCTGACTATGTGGTCTCTGCTGCCCTGCGTGGGTCCCCAGCGGCTGGCCCTGGCAGTGTCCTTGGCTGTGTGTGGCTTTGTTAAGGATTTGTCTTCCAGGCCTCTTGCTGGCAGTGCCACTTGGACATGCCCCACTTCTCCTGTTGACACTCACTGGGAGGTGGCTCTCTGGCCTTCCAGCAGGTCTCCTGATAACTGGTCACTGCGTCCTCCGGGAGCCTGGATTTGCGGTCATTTTCTTGCTGAGTGCGCTCTATCTGATCTGTTCAGACCTGGCCTTGGGGTTGACAGTACAAAAGGCAGTCGTGGGCCCGCGCCCGGCCTGGCCATCCCTCAACAGAGGTCACCACGGTGGCCTCCCAGGCGTCCTGAGCTGGGTCCCGCACATGCGAGCACAGGGGTGTGCGTCTGTGTTCTTGGTGCCCCGCTCTTCACAGATGGTAGAAACTGGGCTTGGATGTTTCGTGTGGTTGGTGACATTTGTACTTTGTGTGATTCAATGTTCCCAGTGAAGCTTGTACTGGAGGGGAAACAAACCCAGGGGCATCTCCGCTTTCGTGTTACCCTCCTGCTGCAGAAGCTCAGGTGGTTCTTTGATGAACCACCCAAAGGCTGTCCTAGGGGACAGTGACTCATGCTTGTAGCTAATGGTACTAACACCAATGGCCACCTATTGTCATCTCAGTGGAGAGCCTGGTGGGGGAGGAGTGGCTGCCGAGGGACCCTCCTCTCTCTGGGCTGTGGTCAGGGGTCCTCAGCCACCCGCCTGCAGGTAGTTTTCCCAGCCAGGCGATGGCAGTCCCCACGGAGCTGAGCTGCATACAGCAGGCTTTCCCTGCCCCAGATGAGGAGTCTGAGGTGACTCTAGGCAGCCCCGCGTGGGTGACTCTGCTGTGGGTGAATGTTCACTCCAACAGGAGTGTCCTGGTCCAACGCGTGCCAGAAAGAGCAACTCCCTGGCATGTCAGGTGTCCTCGGGCTGCTGCTGGGGCCAAGGGACGAGATGGTGCTTAAATTCAAAAGGCAAACCAAAAGTGTGCTGAGCTCAAGGGACTGTGCCAGGGACAGCGTGGAGGGCAACAGGGTGGAGGTGGAGTCTGGGGACCCTAGGCACTTGGGTGACAGGTCCAACTGAGGCAGGTGCGGGGCTGCCCATCCTGGGTGCCTGGCTGGGAGGCAGAGGTGGCAGGTGGGGCCTGAGAAAGGCCAGACCTTCACCCAGGCCCAGCTGCCTCCCTGGGGCTCAGAGGCTGCGCGGCTCAGCTTCACGGGCCTGAAGCCATGCCAGGGACCTGCTTCTTGGATTAGGACTTAATTCAACAAACGTCTGGTCTTGGTGAGAGCAGGAGCGTGGGCAGAGGCCTCTGCGTCCACCCTCTAGTGCCTGCCGTCTAGGGAGTGACAAACCCTGCCAGCTTCCCAAGAGGACCCGGGCAGTTTCCTAGAGAGGACGGGCTCCCTCACCTGCCTCTCGGGGTCCTTTTAGCTTCTGGGCTGCCTGCTAAAGACCTGCAAGTCACGGGGACGGAAAGACAGAATCTGCATCATTAGGAGCTTCTGTCCAGGAAGTGTCTGAAATCCATTTTCCCGGCCTCCTCTTTCCTCTGTCCCCAGCGAATCTTCGCAGGGCCTCTGGCATGCCCGAGACAGCCTGGGGTGCTGGGGCGCTCCCAATTTGCTTCTATTTTGTTCTTTACAACAAAGGCAATTCATGAATGCAAAATGTTTTTTTTTTTTTAAATAAATAATAACCTTCCCTCAGCTCCTGTGCCCTGAGTTGGGGAGATGTGGCCACGACAGACAGGCATCAACTGTGCTGGCTCTGCAGACTGCGGGTCCAGCCTGCCTGGGGTCTTTGAAGCCATGGGCCACAGCTTAGCTACACAGCTAATTAAAATGAGCCGGTTCCTGAGCCCAGTCCCTGCCACTCAGAAGAAAGCTCCTCTGCTCACAGATGGAGTCATCTCCCTGCAGGGCAGGGTGCATCTCCATCAGTGCAGGGGCACAAGTCACCTGAAGCTCTCCGCCCAGCTCCCAGGGTGCTGTGGGCAGTGAGCCAGCCTGGCCCTCAGGTGGTACAAATGCCCCCTGGGAGAGGCAGGCTAATTCCCCAGGGCCTCTGATCATCAAAGACTGAGGGCTGCTGCTCTGGCCTGGGTCTGGTGATGGCCGTGCCATTTGGGCAGTGCAGTCTGCATGGCAGGAAGGAAGCAGGTGGCTTGGGAATGGTTTCTATGCCTTCTAACTCCTGGGCATGACTGGGAGGGCACTGACCCTGTCCAAATGCAGCCAGCCCTCCTCATCCCTGGATGGGGACGTGAACTGAATGACAGGGGTGTCTCAACTGTGGCTGCCCCAGCAGGTGCTGTTTGTGCTGAAATCTTTGATAAGACAGGCAAGTGATTAAAAGGAACAAGGCAGAACTCAGTGCTAAGTCAAATATTTGAAGGATGCTGATAAGTGGGGACTTGGAGGTTCCCAGGATGTGGGTAGAGAACACTGAGCAGGGACAACGTCCTCAGCTGCTTGGGCAGAGGCCACTTTCTCTGTATTCTAAGTCATTGCTGGGAATCAAGTCGGAGGTGAGATCCAGTCCTATATTGCAAGTTAACAAGGGCAAAAGTTGTTTTTTGGGGGAGGGTACTGGGGCTTGAACTCAGGGGCACTGGACTACTAAGCCATATCCCCAGTCCCATTTTGTATTTTATTTAGAGACAGGGTCTCATTGAGTTGCTCAGTGCCTCACTTTTGTTGATGCTGGATTTGAACTCTCAATCCTCCTGCCTCAGCCTCCCGAGCTGCTGTGATTACAGGCATGTGCCACAGTGCCCGGCTGAAAAGTTGGCTTTTGAATGTTAAAAGAAGATGGTAGTTTGACATAAATCTATTAAGTAGGTAGGTTTACAAAAGGGCTATGTAATGGAAACCTGAGGCACTCCTTTGGGGATACCTTCTGCAGCCATGTTAAACATGAATTATTGTTAAGCAAACAGCAAGATTACCCAGCCTCTAGTTCTGGCCTCTTATAGAACAAATTATTGCTAGACTTTAACAAAACTATTATTTTTTGGTCCAAAGTTCTTTTGTTTGCTAACAGGAGAGGGGCCATAGCCGTCAGGCCTGCTGTTCAGGAGGCTGAGGCTGAATTCTGTGCTGTGAGAGGCGCTGAGTCGCAAGGAGCCTGGCGGAGAGTTAAAAACACAAGTTGCCTGGGTGAGGGCTTTGCCAACAAGCCCGGCAGGCTGTCCTCCCACGCGGTGACCTTGGCAAGGCCTGGGAAGCTGAGTGGGAGGAGCCAGGGCCACAGCCGCCGGTCTTCCAGCAGCGCCTTTGTCTCCAGCTCTGCCAGGACTTGAACCAGTGCCAGCAGGGTGGTGGGTTGTGGGTGAACAGCCCAGGGGGTTGCAAGACCCGGGAGAGGGCACAGAGCTGCTCAGCATTTGAATCTGCTTGTTGACAGCCAGGGACAAGCCCTGGTTCTTGGTGTGGCCCCCAAGGGGGGTTCCAGTGGAGCAGTAGTGAGGTCAAGGGGCATGCAAGTGCCTTGCTGTCACCTTCGTCTTAGGGAAGCGACAAAGCAGCATTTGCCCGCACGCTGGGCAAGGGAAGGAAAGATGGCAGGATGGCTCAGCTGTGGAGGGCAGGGGAGTTTCCCTCCCTCCCTCGAGAACAGAAAGGCTCCCAGCTGCTTCTGGAAGCTCACGTTCAACATCAGAGGCCAAAGACACAGTGCCCACACGGGCACTCTGGAGCCCAGTGAGAGGGAGCCTTCCCTGCACAGTGGAGCAGCCCAGCCAAGTCACCACCGCAGGCCCTGCCGTGGGAGCCAGGTAACCATCTGGCCTGGCTGCGCAGGGTGACGCGGCAGGTCTGTGGCTCGCAGCTCTACGGCCTGGGCCGGCCAGCACCATAAGCTTGCTGCTGAAGCAGCTGCTCTGCAGAGCAAGGGCCCCGTCAGGGAGGAGACAGCCCTGTCTGGGCCCACTGTCACTGGCCCCCCTAGGAGCAGCCACCAGACAGTTGAGGAGAGGGACCTGTGCAAGGGTGAGCCCTCCGTACAAGGCTGAGCAAAACCAGCTTGCAGGGATGATGCTGGCCATTGAACAGGTGGGAAGTGTCACCCCCAGGACCTACGTAGTCTCATCGTCCCACATCTGGGACATTCAGAAAAACAACGGGAGCAAAAAGAAAAAAAAGTACTTTCAGTAACTTTTAAAATAAATGTTTTCAGGGCTCTATTTTGAGAAAATCGAAAGTATTTGAAAAAAATATATTTTATATACAAAAAGGCATAAGCTCTGGATTGATTTCCAATCTATTTTAAGCACCTGCGTCAGATTCATTGAAAGATTTATGGATGGACAGCTTGGGGCCTAATGGGTTAACTTCCAGGTCTTCAGTCCTCAGGGGACAGTGAGTGTCTCCTTTCTCTTTCAGAAAGGACCAAAATGCCACTGCTGAGGAAATCCAGTTTTCCTTTAATCAGCTGAAATCTGAGCGATTGGCCAGGGCAGGATTTCTATTGAGAGGGAAGATGCTGCTGTCCCTAGTGTTTAAGGTGACTCATTGCGTGGACCAAGGCGAACACCATGCCCAACGCCCCAGAGATGAGAGCTGGGGGAGGGCACTGCAGTCCCGCCCATGTCCATGCAGGAAAGGTAGCTGTTCCTTGAAAATGGCAACACTTGCAGGCTGCCTGTGTCCCTGGTGGGTCTCTGACCCTGGGCTGGGAACCCTGTGGTAGAGGCTCTGGGGAAGACTCTGCTGGGGCCCTCCACTGAGAGAACGGTGGAGAGCTGGTTCTGAGCCATGCCAGGAGGGGCCTGCCACCATGTACCCTGCGGAGTGTCAGAACAGCCTGAGCCACAACGAAGTTCAGAACACTTATACCAGGACAGACAGAGGCAGGAGGATGAGACCGGGTGGTGTCCTGACCCCCCACCCCCTGCACATTCTGGGAGGAGCCCAGGAGGAAGAATCTGGGAAGCAGAAGAGCTCCAAGGAAACACAGGTGCCAAATGCACTCGGCACAGGCCTGGGACGCAGCTCCCTGCAAAGCCAGGGGACGCAGGTGAGGCGGGGTGGCTGTGGCCTGGCCGTGCTGACCACTGGGGATGTTGGCTGAGCCTCGGTTGGGGCAGTTGACCCCGAGAGGTTCTACCCAGCTGCAGACAGACCTGTTTGGCCTGAAGGTTCACTGGGGCTGAGGGCTCTGCTCCGGAACTCAGGCTATCTTCCTGAGGGGCTGGGGGGCTAAACATCTCCCCCCTGGCTGGCTGTTAGCAGGGAATGCTCGTAGTTAAAACTGTTTTTAATTTTGGAAAGATTTTCTGCGTCTCCTGATTCTAGATGTTTCATTATCTCCAGTGGCTGCCAGGCGAGGAGGTAGGCCCTACCCGCAGAGTGCGCGGTTCACCTGGAAGGAGCTGCCTCGGAAAGAAACTGCAGGGGCCCAGCTGCAGGAGGACGAGCACCCCAATACAGGCAGGCCAGCAGAATGGGGCGCACAGCAGCTCCCTGCTGACAGGGGCATTTCTCCCAAGAACAGGAGCAGGATTCCGGTGCCCACCTGCTCCTGGAGGCAGTCTGAGGGGGCAGTCTTTGGCTGGGGAGTGCAGTTCCCCCTTGGCTCTTCGCCTGGCTGTGTGAGCTGAGCCGCAGCGGGGTGTGGAAGGGTGGCTGACTGAAGCAAGCCCTGAACCCTCCCCAAGCTTCAGGCACAGCGCTTGCCTGGGCGGGGCCTGAGTTCCATCGCCAGCACTGGATCCCTGCTCACTTCTCTTCAGAGGGGGCAGCAGGTGACCTCATGTCGAGGCCACCATTTTTCTGTCCCTAATAGTCCTTGTACCTTCTTTATCAAGAGCTGTACAGTTCATCTGCTTCTAACCCTTCAACCCCCTCCTTGCACTGTGTCTGGGCCACCGTGGCCTCTCCTGAGCATCTTTGGGGAGGCCTCATCTCCTCCTGCTGTGTCATAGCTCCTCTCTGGCCTTGGCCTCTGACCCCCTGCCCTGGGTCTGAGAACCCACATTTCCCTTCCCCAGTAACAGCCCTCCGTATATCCAATTCTGAAGGCCTGGATCCCCAGACACATTTTTATTTCTTTACTTTGTGTTGTTTCCTAACTGCACTGTCCCGGGGTCAGGGAACAGGCTACAGGGTGTCCGTCTCCTGCAATCAGAGACTTTCCAACATGGTCTGTGGACATGTGAAATGAGACAAAGTTCCACACACATCTCCTGGATCAAGCTTGCTAATGACGTTATGCAAATCCTCCAGGTCTTTAGGTTGTTCAGTAACTCCATCTGCTGATGACCCACTGCATGTGGGTCTCAGGCTGGGGGTGGAACCCAGGGGTCTCATGCCAGGCAAGCTCCATCAGCCTGCATAGAGCAGCTGGTAGAGCAGCTGATGCTGCTGCTATTTAGAAAAAAAGTAAATCAAGAAAATCAAGACCAATGCGATGGTTCCCTGCTCTGGGAGGGAAGCTACTTCTCGATTGCTCTCTCGCACAGTCTTATTTTATCTTCAGGGATTGAAGGCACGGTCCCCCCTTGACCTCTCCCTTTGGAGGATGGCTGTTAAGTTTGTGAATATTGAGAAAATACTTACTTTGTATCATATACTGTTGACATAATAGAAAGCAAAATAGTTCTTAATGAAATAATTGTATAAATATATACTTATAAACCCTGGTAAAAGCTATGAAGAAAAAGCACTGCTCTCCAGGTCACACTGGGCAGTGGCGAGGTGGGAGCTCAGAGGAGACCACCCTGAGTTGATCTTTGATCAACTTGAGCTTGATCTTTGATCCAAAGGATGGGGCCTTGTAGGCCCAGAGACCGGCACATCCCCAGGACCACAAGGTCCTTGAAAGAGTTTGGAGGCTGGGAAGATGGCCACCAGGGCAGGAGCCGGGGCCAACTGAGCCTGGTGTTCAGAGCATGGAGCTCCCTAGGCCTCCAGTGGGACCAGGGAAGGGCGGTGAGGGAGGAGGTGAAGTTTGAGTCGTGTTACTCTAAGCCACAGAGAGCAGGGTGAGATGGAAGGAGCCATGGCACACACCCATGCTTTGCCTGTGGCTGAGGGCAGCGGAGGCAGCTAAGGGTGCCACGCTCAGGAGCAGCTGGTCCCCCAAATGCCTACCGCTCTGTAGACAGCTCTCTTAGGGTTTGCAAGTTTATAAAACTGGTCCTTCCCACTTTTCTTCCTGCTCCCATGAGGCACTAAATATTGTCACTGGGAAAAGTGAGCGCAAGGTCATAGTTGTAACTGGTCATGGTGTCACAGGAGGAGCGGCAGACAGGAAGAGGGCTCTGGAAGGCCAGCTGGTCCACGGCAAACTCATAGGCGTGAATCAGCCCCCGGTGTCTGGAGAAGGCAGAGGGACAACAGGTCAGGATGGTGTTACTGGCCCTCACCCTGACGAGCTCTGGCTCTGTAGAAGGCAGGGCTTGGGGCAGGACAGCAATTCATTTCGGGGCCCACAATGTGTCAGACACTCAGGATCCTGGGTCCAGGCAGAGCAGGCTGTGGAGGCGAGGCCTGTGGATGTCGGTGGGGTCAGCTGCAGGGGGCACTCAGGAGCTAGGCACAGTCCCAGAAAAGGCCCCTGAGCCCACCCACACAGGGACCTCTTCTGCCTGGCAGCTGGGTCACCAGCAGACTGAACAGGAGCTCTGAGGACCAGGTGTGGCCCTAGGATTCTAAGCACAGGCAGGTCTGTGGGCTGCTGGGGCTCGGATCCTCCGGCCGGCACCAAGTGCCACGAGTGGCTAGGGAGGGCTTCTGACAGGCCCTGGGTACTTCTCCTGGCTCTTTGGTGGTCATGGATAGGAAGAATGGCCACACCTGGGGTGCCCACAGGGGCAATGTGCCATGGGGGATTCTATCAATGAAACCCAACTAAGATCGTCCTTGTGGACACGGCAGACCCGGCCCCACCGGACCCCACTGACCTCCTGTGAGTGGCGAAGCTGTCCAGGTCCGAGTTCCGCACCACCTTCTCGTAGGGCACGTTGGCCGTGATGAGGCTGTGGCTGTTGAAGGAGATGTGCCTCACGGCGTGCCTGGGAGTGGGGAGGGGAACGCCTCTGAGGTGGAGCCCATTGCAGAAGAGGGGGCAGCGCAGCCTCCAGCGGGAGTCTGGACCCCCAGGCCCTGCTTATCCCTGCAGAGCAGGCTCTCCCTCAGCTCCCACAGCTGCTGACACTTCGTAAACAAATCGGGGAGTCCCACCTGCACTCTGGCTGACACACAAGGACAAACTCAACTTGAGACAAATGGGCAACACGCAGTGGAGACCAGCCCTGTTTTTGTCCCCCTGGCTAGAAGTCCTGGGCAGGCTTCCTGAGCTCCGAGCCGGGATCCTCATCTGCAGCATGTGGGGACATTTAAGGGTGATCTGTAAGGCTTTAGCCATTTAGTCGGGACTAAAATGACACCTGTGCTCGGGCCGTGACAGCACATTGAGAACATCTCGGCAAGTGATGGCTTCAAGTCTAACGGACTTTCACTCACTCTAGAAACCTTCTGTAGCACCTGCCGGGCCACAGTGCTAAGCCGGGAGGTGCCTGTGACACCAATGGCTCCCACAGGGGACAGCTGCCCTCAGAAGCTCCTCGCCAGGGGGGAAGGTAAGGCGCATTTCCACAGCTCTCAGCCAAGGCCACCGCAGCACAAGAGAAGTGACGGCTTCTGGGAGTGGAACTGACTGATGCACCTGGGAGGACACTCAGGGCCGAGGGGACACCAGGCCAGCACAGGAGTGGCCTATTCAGGCTGAGCCCAGGATGCTGTGGCAGAGGATGCTCCTGAGTAATAAAACCAAAGGGGGCATCATAGAGCCCAGAGAGGGGGACAGAAGGCAAGAGGACGGGGGAGAGAAGGGAGGGCTCAGGCCTGGGGATGTGTCACTGACGAGTGAGGAGGACCCAGAGGCTGGCTGAGGAGTCCGAAGCAGAAGGGGGGACATGAAAGTGACAACACAACACTGGACTGCGCTTAGGATGGGCAGAGGGCTCAGGGAGGACGTGGGTGAGTCAGCGGGTTCTGGGCAGGGGACCATGGAGAGGAGGAGGCTCCCTCGTGTGAGAAAAGTCAATGCTGAGCACTTTAAAGGAACAGCTGGGGCAGCCCACACCTGGGAGACTGGCAGCTGCTGAATGGCCGGTCAAGAGGGGGCAGGGAGCCAACAGCCAGCACAGGCACAGCCAGCTCCAGGAGCTGCCCTCCAGGACCAGCTCTCAAAACAAACTCCAGGTTTCCCTTAAAGGCAAATGCTTCTGGGAGGCCCATGTAGAACTTTTACTTGCTTTTGGCACCACCTGGTGGCAACAGTGGATCATCACAAAATCAGCAAGGGGCTTGTGCCAGTAGGGAAGGGAGGGAAAGAGACAGAACTGGGTGGTGTTGACACCACCAGGGGCCCTCTCCTGAAAAAGCTGCTAGCCACAGTACTCGCCAGTGCTGCTCTCCACCTCACCTTGCTGTCTGTTTTTTTCTTGAGATCTGGGGACTGGACTCAGGAGTGCTCGACCACTGAGCTATATCCCCGGCCCTGTATGAGATAGGGTCTCACTAAGTTGTCCAGGTTGGCCTTGACATTGCAATCCTCCTGCCTCAGTGGCCTGGTTGCTGAATTACAGGCGTGTGTCACCTCACCTACAATGTCTATTTACAGGGTACTGAGTGTATACCCCTTCCTCTGTGGAGGTGGGAGTGGCCTTGGTCAGCTCCAGCTCTGCTTTAAGGTTAAGAGCAGGCTCACACAAAACCTTTTAACCACTTAGGCACTGTGGATATAAATGTGCCAGCTGGGTGCGGTGGCACACGCCTATAATCCCAGCAGCTTGGGCAGGTTAGGCAGGACAATCGTGAGTTCAAAGCCAGCCTCAGCAACAGCAAGGCCCTAATAAGCAACTCAGTGAGACCCTGTCTCTAAATAAAATTGAAATAGGGCTGGGGATGTGGCTCAGTGGTCGAGTGCCCTGAGTTCAATCCCTGGTACCAAAAAAGTGTGTGACCCTACTGTGTGTACAACCAGAGAAGTGAAAAATTGTGATCCGTTTGTGTACAATGAATCAAAGAGCATTCTGCCGTCATGTATAACTGATTAGAATAAAGAAAGAGAGAAAGAAAGAAATGGAGATGCCTGGTATGGCATCGCAATAGCCTAAAAAAAAAAAAAGAAAGAAAAAAAAGTGCCTATATCCACAAAGCCATAAGCCGGTACACAGCATAGGATCTACTTCTCTTCAATATTCTCAGTAAAGATTGAAATGAAAACTTGAGGCAGGAACACTTTTAGTCCTAGGTGCCCCCTACACAGTTGAGGACAGCTCAAGCAACAGGCAGACCCTCTTGCAATCTGACACCCAGGAGTGTGTGCTCCCACCTGCATCCCCCTGCACCTAGTGGGAGCCACATCATGGCCTAGCTGAGCTGGCTTCCGACAGTTCTGATCTGGCTTTAGTAAGATGGAGGAATTCTAAAACAACCAGAACAGCACTTATGAGAAATCAGTCCTTCTTAGAGAAGCTGGGCCTCTTCAGGGTTGGATATGAACGATGGCAAACCAATGCAGTAAGAGAGAAGAACTGCGTCTCTCTGGAGCAGGACCATGTCCCAGCCTCAGTTTCCTCATCTGAACACTGGAGGCAGCAGCACAGCCTGCTCACAGGATGCACTTGAAGAAGCGCTTAGTACAGTGCCTGGCTTGGGTGACTGGCAATGATGGTTTGTGTGACTGCTATTCCTCAAAACTCCTGCGGGACAAGCTTACCTGGAATGGACTTCCCACAACTTTTGGTTCATGCGGTAATCCCACACAGACACCAGGCCCTCCTCGCCTCCGCTGACAACCTTCCAGTCATCCATCTGGACTGCAGAGACCCCAAGCTGGTGTGCCGAGAGTGACAGGGCAATTTTATCAGTGCGGAGGTCGTGGATCCTCACCCTGGAAGGGCCAAAAGAGCACAGAGAAGGGAAAGGGGATTAATTTAAAGCTTCCCCCTCAGTTGTGCTGATCTGGGTACAATGTTCCTACGTAAAACTACTTCAACTGCACACACCTACAATACTGAAATAGACTACTCTCTCCTCACTGCTGTAGTTCAGAGAACCCACGACCACTTCATCAGAATGATTTAAAAGCACATAGAACAGGAGTGACCCAGGGCAATTGCTGCTCTGTCCATTCGATCTCCTCAACAGGGAGACATCTGCAATGAGTGCATATCCAGGTAGAGGGTAGGTGACATCCAACTGGCACAAGGATGCCTCGTGGTGTTGGCCTGAGAAGCCTGTCCCAGTGGTAACTATTATACAGTGATTTTGCTGGTGGTATAAGATTCTGTTAAGGGCAAAGGTAAATTGGTGCCACTTGTCTGCAACCCAAACCCTTCCCTGGCCAGGAAACACTTCCCTGATCTGTGACCATCTTGACACTTAGGAAGTACTTTTATACTTGAGCCCAGCAGAACTGTGACAAGTGTGTGGATGCTTGGTAGTCACTTATCTGGAGACTTGAAATAATTACTTGCCTAGTAAGAATTTGGATTTAAGAACCCCCTTAAAAAACTCATTTTTTACAAATACATGCTAGCTTTTCACATGGATGAGTTAGAATGAGTCAGAAATCTCGTCTACTGCAAATGCCATTATACTTAGTGCCTGAAACAAGTCCCAATAGCTAAAATTGAACGTGTCAAAATGTAAGCAAATTAATGAACAAGAATGAAGTGAATTTCACAGACCTTCTGACACAAATCATAAAGGAAAAAACAACTGCTGCCCTGAAAAGACCCTGCCCTCGCGTGAAACATGATCAAAATGTGTCTGACACAAAAGTGAGAAAAAACAAAGCTCTTCAAAGCACCCTGAGGGGGGAACATTGCCTATTAAGGATGAGAATCAGGCTGACAGGAAAAACTAGAAAGGACATTAAAGTCACTGATTTGAATGACTGGATGTGGGTGGCACAATCAGCCAGGACATCCAATGAATGCTGGTTGAGCAATTTGGTGCATCCCTACGCTAGTTCACACGGGGCGTGAGAGACAGGCAGATCTACATCACCAACAGGCGCAGCCTCCAGTATGCTCCCCTCCCCACCCTGAATGAGTGTATTGGGGAGACACACACCTATGCCACTGTAAGGATGACACCTGGAGGACAGCGGTCAACTGGGGAGGCTGACTATGCTGGCCAGGAAAAGGGGTGCATAGAAGACTGACCTCCTCAATGCCACTTTGTGCTTTTAAATTCAACTTGAAAGTTCATGCTGTTTATAAGCAACTAAAAATTCTGGAAACACATACTGGAAATGTTAATGGCAGTTATCCTGGAGAAGAGGTGTGGCAGTGGCAGAATGAGAGCCACAAAGAGGCTTCTGCTTTTGATTCTTGACACTGTCATGTGGTTTAAAAAACAAGAACTCATCCGCAACCAGGAGGGAACCAGGTCTTTGAGGGTTCTAGTTATGCGCAGTCTCTGTTCTTGACATTATGTATTTACCTTATATACACCCTCATTTGTATGTTGTGTGTCATAATGTTTAATAATTAATTTCTTAGGTAATGTTAAGTGGAAGCAGGATGTTGAAAAAAATATGGTCTTAGAGTCAGAGGCAGAGGCATTACTTCGTGCCTAACCACGAGGAAGCAGTGGGGGTGCAGATGACTAGGGGCCTCCCGCCGTGGGATGCCATTCAGTCTGCTCAGTCTGCGTCTCCGCTGGAGGATCTGGGACTAGAAAGACCAGAGAGAGCTTGAAGTATGCTTTGAAAACAAAGATCCTTCTCTCTCTTCAGATGCAGGGACACCCATCTCTGCGCCTGTGCAGGTCAAGGACAAGCAAAAGTGCTGGGTGAGAGGCCCGCCTCTGGACCACAGTGGGACCCTGCTAAGGATTGGGGGGGGGGGGCGTTTAGCCCAGTACTTCTCAATGCGTGTTTGGTTACTAAGGGTCTATTTTTGGCGTGGTGATTTTCATAAAGAGCTCCTCTGTTGAATATTTATATTCCATAATTTACAGTTTGGCTGTTAAGGAGACAAAGGCAAACACAAATTTGGTCCAGAAGTTCAAAGTTTGCCATCTGTTTTCCTATTGTATTTAGACACCAGCATGGACGGCTCCAAACAAAATAAACAAATGCACCAAAAGATACAGCAGCAGTGTCTTTGATATCACCCAGAAAAACAACAGTGGGCCAAAACAGACTTGAACTTCTCCCCACAGGAAAAAAAGTAGTATTTTCTCTAACAACTCCTTAGAGGGACATCACTCTGGCTTCTTGTCCGCAAAAATAGCACACACCTCGGTGTGCTGAGTCCACCCAAGCCATCAAATTCACATTAAGAAGCAGGTATTGGCCTCGAACATCTGACAGCGTGCAGCACCAAGTTGAAATGCAGCGAACCTTGGCACAGTCTGCAACCTCAGCGTTCAAATCGAACACTTGCCGCTGGGAAACAGGTAGCACAGCAAATGGGCACAAAGATATGCCAGGACAACCGATTCCAGGGACAAAAAGAAGCCAACAGTAGATACTGCAAACCTCTATCTAGCGAGTATTTCATCAACTTTGCCCACTGAAAAGAAAAATAATTGGTCGGAAAGCTGTAATTGTATTATGTTTAATATTCATGGTTGGGCTGGAGGACTGTTCCAACACTCCCTCTCTGCAGCCCCTCTCTAATGAAAATCACACCATAGGAGCCGGCGCTAGCCCGCCAATTAAAACAAAAGACACCAGAACCTTCCAAAGACTCCAGCAGAGGAGCATCCATCTGATGGGCAGGAAAACGTGCTGGAACTGAGAGGGAGGCACGCTCTGGTTGGTCCTGTGTTAAGAGCTTTGAATAACTTATTATAACACTTGCAGATGGAGCGAATGTGACGCTGATGCCCCACTTGCGCACTCTCAAGCAGCAGGCGGCGGACCACAAGCCACCACAACTTTCTATTTGTCAGGCAGGAAGGAAGCTGAGAGACTCTTTAATTGGGGGCCACAAGTCAGGGCTCACTTCCTATTGGACTGGATTAAATAGTCCCATATGATAATAAGGTAAATTGTATTTGGTGGCAAGGCTGAAGCCTATTCAGACTCTGGCTCAGCAGTTTCATTAAGAAGGACCCGACCTTCTGCTATATTTCCATCCAGAAAATAGAGGAAATAAGCAACAAAGCATTAAAACAGGCTCTTTTGCTTATGACCAAATTAACTGAGAAAACTGGTGTGTATTTTTTAAAAAGAAATCAATACATGATTCTGTTTGATCTTACTGAACCTGAGCTATTAAAAGAGGAGTTTAAAATATAACCTTACATACCAAAATCAATGGTTTTATCTGCATAGCACTGATGATGGCCTTCAATGAAATGATTCATTTTAAATAGCACCTAGAAGAGTACGTATTTTCAGGCTGACCTGCCCAATTTTTTCCAACTAGGCTAGTGCTTTCTGTGTTTTAAAGCTGGGTCTCTGATGTTTAGAGTTCTCTGTATACAGAACATAAAATCAGCATTGTCAAGAGTAACATGTCATGTGGACCGGTCCCTGAACTTTTCTGGACCTTCATTTCCTTAGATGGTCTTGAAGAACTCTGTTAATCCTCAAATTCTGTGACCCATGACAAGCCGGCCCAAGATACTGCCTGTGGCAATGAGGGTCATGGATGTCATGTCAAAACAATAAGGCACATGATCCCAAGTTGGAAGCACTGCCATTTTTTAAATTTTAAAACTTTTATGACTATTTTTTAAATTTTAAAACTTTTATGACTATTTTGTATATCCATGTTGTACATAAAGACTCTAAAACAAGTTTTTGACTTTCATTTACAACCATGCTGTGCAGCATGCCTGACATTCGGAAGCTTACTGTGTAATAAGTAGTATATTAAAATAAAAAACTGTACATAATCAAGGCAGTGTGGTGCTGGCAAATGTGGACATAGCTCAATGGAACAGAAATGAGAGTTTAGAATAAACCTTTAAATTTGTGGTCAAACTTTCAAGAACAGGGGCTAAGAAAATTCAATGGGAAGAACAGTTTTCAACAAATGGTGCTAGACCAGTTAGATGTCCACATGCAAGAGAATGAGGAGGAACCCCTGCCCCACACCTGCTACAGAACTGCACACCTGAGAGTAAGAGCCAGAACTACGAACAAACACAGCAGCAAATCTTCGTGACCCTAGGTTAATGGTTTCTTATACATGACACCAAAGCCCAAGGAACAAAAAAGCAGATCAAGCTTCATCAATATTAAAAACTTCTGTGCTCAAGAAAGAGGAAAGAAAGACAGCCCACAGAATGAAAACATTTGCAAATCATATATCTGACAAAGGATTTGTATCTAGAAAAAATATGTAAACAACTCAACAATTTAAAAAAATTAATTCAGCTAAAAATGGATTTGGATAGACAACTCTCCAAAGAAGAGACACGAACGGGCAATAAGCACCTGAAAGGATGTCCAACACCACTAGCATAGGGGAGCCACATCAAAACCACAAGGAGGCAGCACTTCACACTCATTAGGACGACTCCAGACAACAACATCAAGTGCTGGTGAGGACAGAGAAAATGGAGTCTGCTTACAGTGTTGGCAGGTGTCTAAAATGGTGTGGCCACTTTAGAAGAGAGTCTGCTAATTTGTCAATAGTGAAATGTAGAGTTACCATACACTTCAAGTCCACTCCCAGGTATACAGAGCAAAGAGTATCGAAAACATGTCCACATGAACTCTTTAACATGAATATGGTAACAGCATTAAACATAATAACCAAAAGGTGTAAACAACCCAAATGTCCATTAACTAATGAATGGATAAGCAAAATGTGGTCTAACTAAACAGTGGGATATTATTTGGCCATAAAAAGGAACGATGTGCTGGTACATGCTATAAACTGGGCTTCTCTTGAAAACAGCGTGCTGAGCAGGAAGCTAATC